AGCAGCCGAGATCAATTATGAGATCCACGATAAAGAACTTCTTGCGATCGTGGATTCCTTTCAAGAATGGCATCATTATCTAGAAGGCGCTTCTAATCCAGTCACTGTGTATACAGATCACAAGAACCTCGAGTATTTCATGTCAGCACGCGTCTTGAATCGTCGTCAAGCTCGTTGGAGTATGTCTTTGTCAAGATTCGAGTTCATTATCACTTATCGGCCAGGAAAACAACAAGGTTTGTCTGATGCCCTATCTAGACGTTCTTATTTTGCACCAAAAGAAGGAGATGCAGCTTTTGAGCAACAAAGAACGGTCCTCTTGAAACCGGAGAAATTTCATCTCCGAGCAATGAAATCAACATTGACTGTTGATTCAACTTTTCTCAAGCAAATCCAGTCCAGTATGTCCTCAGACCCTCTTGTTTATGATATCGAGAATAATTCTTCCAAATCTCATGATCCTTCTAAGTTCGACTTGAAGAATAATCTATTATATTTTGAAGGATGCCTATATGTTCCAGAAAGAGAAGCACGTTTACGTGTTCTTCAAGCACATCATGACTTTCGAGCAGCAGGGCACTTTGGATATAATAAGACTTTGGAACTCATATCAAGAGATTTTTGGTGGCCACAAATGTGGAAGTCAGTCAAAGACTTTGTACAATCATGTGATATTTGTTCAAGATCAAAAATTCCTCGTCATCGACCTTACGGACTTCTTCAGCCATTACCTATACCAGAACAACCATGGTCTTCTGTTTCTATGGATTTCATCACAGATCTTCCAAGCTCAAGATCTTATGATTCTATATTTGTGATAGTAGATCGTTTCACCAAGATGGCACATTTTGTGCCATGTACAAAATCTATCACAGGTGAAGAAACAGCTAAGCTTTTCATTGATAATATCTATCGCTATCATGGATTACCTAAAGATATCATATCGGATAGGGGAATTCAATTTGTGTCAAGATTTTGGAGGACCTTTTTCAAGATTTTAAAAGTGGACATAAAGCTATCTTCGGCTCTCCATCCTCAAACTGATGGACAAACAGAGCACGTAAACCAAGTCTTGGAGCAATATTTAAGGTGTACTATCAACTACCATCAAGATGATTGGACAACCCTTCTGCCATTGGCAGAGTTTGCTTATAATAATACGGTACATTCTTCCACGCAACAAACACCTTTCTTTGCCAATTATGGCTATCATCCACGACTTGATACTTTTGATTTTTCAAAAGTTGATAATCCTGCAGCAGAAGATATGGCAAATCGGTTGTCAGAGTTATATGCAATAATGAAGACGCAAGTGAAGGAAGCTCAAGAACGACAAAAGATAAACGCAGATCTATATCGTAAGGAGCAACCACAACTCAATGTGGGTGATAAGGTATGGCTACTTCGTCGCAATATCAAGACTACTCGACCTTGTGACAAGTTGGACTATCGTAGGCTTGGCCCCTTTTCTGTTTCTGAACAGATCAACCCAGTTGCATATCGGTTACATCTACCGGAGTCAATGAAGATCCATCCTGTATTCCACGTGTCTCTTCTTGAACCATATAAGATAGTGGATATACAAGAAAGAAGACAAATGCCACCGCCTCCTATAGAAGTAGATAATAATGAAGAATTTGAGGTGGAAGAGATATTAGACTCAAGGCGGCGCCGAAATAAGGTGGAATATCTTGATCATTGGCGCGGATATGATATTAGTGAATGCACATGGGAGCCATCCAGGAATCTAGCAAATGCATCAGCTAAAGTCAAAGTTTTTCATCAACGACATCCATCGAAACCAAGATGAAAATCTCTCTTATAAAAGAGACAAGATTGAGGCAAGATAACATTCAATTTCCTATCCTTGTTTGTAACTTCTTTACATTTGTGACGCTAACTAGATGGAGAGCCAACAACCAACAGATTCAACTCAAGAACCTTCGTTTGCTGACCTGCCGGATGAGACATTATGATTGTCACAACCTTTAAGACGACACAATCGAGATGAAGATCTTCAAGAACGACATGTTCTTCCTAGAATAAATGGTGAGATACAACGCGTTTGGTATCACGATTTGGGAAGGGACTCCCGATGTTTGGTGATTTTACTAGAAGTAGGAACAACTCCTGATGGTGTTCCAAATATTCTATTCGAAGAAAGTTACGAAGGCCTCAACAATGATCAAATAACTGGGTGGTCTTCCCGCCCTGGTATGGGACACTACCGATGGTTGAGAGGCCCTCTCAATCATCTTCGAAGAGAACAGAGATCAGAGTATGTAGCGAATACAATTCGTCGCATCATAGATTTCCTCAATATATGATGACCGCTCCTCGTGGAACTCGTCTCTAGAAGGGAGGGTAATGTCACGGCCATAATCATGTAAGCTAATAATTACATATAGAAATAGGTAGAAGTAAGTAAAAGTAGATAAAAGTAAGTTAATTCTATAATATTTAATATAGAAGCTTCCTAGACGCTGCTTTAACTTCATAGGTGTCTTTAATTGACTTTTTGGATTAGAAACGTGGTCAACAAGTTGGCCATGTGCCACACATGTTGTTAGCTTGAAGATCAAGCTAACTATGTGGCCTACACGTAGAAAAACTTGCCTTGTAAGTCAAGGCATGTGTCCTACAAAGTCAACACATATTGGAGGTCCTATAGAACGTCGCCACGTAGCCCCTAGTTAGATAGTATATTTAGAGACAAGAGTGAAGGCTTCTTCACTCTTGTCAACTCCTTTCTTGCTTCTAGTCCAGGTTCAAGAGTCTTTAGTTTCTTGTCTTGTGGCAATAGCCATTCCAGTTTCCTTTTAATATACCTACTTGTTTATATTTTGACTTATTATATCGAGATAGCCCTTTTGTGTATATTTTCCTTCATCGAGTCTTTGTCCTTGACACATTGTTGTTTTTAGGAAGGTCCAACTAATGCAATCAAATGTCTTTTCAAAATTTAAAAATATCTTGATTATTTTCTTTTACTCAAGTCATTGCTTCCATCACTAGGAATACATTGTAAAATATGTATTGTCTTCTTATGATTCTTGTTTGAATTGTGAGAATCCATCTAGGCAAGTTTGGTATTAATTGTTTTTTCAATATTTTTTCTATAATCTAATAAATTTGATTCAAAAGAAAAATTGAAAAATAATTTGTAATTAAATGTAAGTCACTTAATTTTGGAATTAATATAATATTACTAATATTGAGTTTAGAAAAGAGTCTTTTTATTAATAGGACTTCTTGTATTAGTTCTACCACATCTGCTCATATGTCAAACCAGCATTGTTGGAAAACTTTTGACAATACCATGTCCAACCCAAGTGATTTTTCTTTGAGTAGATCTTTTATTGTTATTTTTATCTCTTTTGTTATTGTGTCATATTCCATGTCTTTATTTTCTGCTTCTATAGCTAATTTTGGCAAACTAGAAAAGCACCTTCTTCAAGCTACATTGTTTGTTTCTACCTCTATATCTTTTGTATATAGTTTTTTTTTTTTTAAATGTTTGTGTATAAATAGGGATGTCTTTTAAGTGAGACAATATACAACCACTATTGTTAAACTCCTAGATTTCTATCTTTCAATATTGTGCTCTATAGTGTTTTAAGAATTCTAAATTTTAGTAATTTCCTACCATAATCTATTTAGCTCAAAAGGAGTTGCATTGTTTTTCCAAGTGTTTATGGCAAATTTTCTGTAGTTGTAATTGAACTAAGTTGGATTGTTGTCTGGTCTTGTCAATTTTTTTGGAGTAGTTTTATTGTGGGTAGTTTTATTAATTGGAATTGATCTTGTTGTTTCTTGATTTATACTGTTAGCCTTGTTGCATGTGGTGTCAAACCATGTTCATTTCCCAGATTACTTGGGTTGTGGAGTTTTGGTGTAGATAGGTCATCTATTATTTGTTTTGAGTTGCTCGTTGTTATAGTTTCTTGTGTAGGTGTTTGGGGGTTGATCATCGAGTTCTTGTCCTTGAAAATCCTCTTGTTTTGTGTGTTAATTATCCTCGCTTGCCACCAAGGTTGCACAACAAGAGTCTTTTCTATGAAGGTTGATAACATCCTTTGAAAGGAGAAGAGGGCATGGCCGATGTTCTCTTATTGGTGGAAAGTGAAGAAGTTGAAGTTTGAAGCTCTCTTTTGATCGTTTTTCTAAGGAGTTGAGGCTAAAAAAGCTTCCAGAGTTAATTTGGTCTTTTCAAGAATCTATGGCCAAGTTTGGGATTAAAGAGCTTACTTGATGGTTTTGGTTGTTGTTTTATTTCTAGTAACTTGTCGTTGTCCATCTTTGTTCTCTTGCTCTAGCCTAGTGATGTATTCCTTGTCGCTTGCATTTGTACCTTGTAAGTACATATGTATCCTAAACAACTTAAATCCAACCAATTAAAAAAAATGTCTTCATTTGAAGCTGTGTGTATTGGAATTAAACAATTAAGAAAAAGAACATGAAAGTCAAGTAAGAGACCATTTTATTACAATTTAAATTATAGCATCCTAATTCAATTTAGGGAGGATGGTGTGTTAAAACACAATGTTATCTTATAGACACTTCAATATGCAAATTATTTGTGGGTCTATTAAATAGAAGGTGATAACAATTCCAACAAAATAGAACATGTAGAGTTCTTATTCAGGTTGGTCATAGCAAACCAACTCAACAAGGCAAAACACACTATTTTTCATTGCTGAATCCACCAATATTCAAATAAAAACAAATAAAAAAGTGAAGTTAAGCTCGGCATAAGACACTTCAGGTCAGAACGATCCAAGAGACAACAAACTCTGTGTAAAAGATCTGACAACATCGGACTTTTCAGACACTTCAGGTCAGAACGATCCAAGAGACAACAAACTCTGTGTAAAAGATCTGACAACATCGGACTTTTCAAGAACCGACGATCACCCCATGCTGGGGAGGGGGGGTATAAAGTACTCAACTAGAACATTTAAAACTTGTGTTCAGAGGTGCGCAAACGATCTCGAACAGTTTCGGCACCAAGTCTTAAGAGGTTCACTGAAGATGTGGGGTGTGAGGGGGCAAGCGGGGTTGAACCGCTGACCTATCGGACTGCAGCCGATTGCTCTGCCACTGAGCTATACCCCCGGCGGAACCGACTCCAACGGATCTGTCTGGATTCTTCGGGTTTTCATTTAGTATTTGAAAGTGTATTTCTTAGTAAATACTATATTTCATTGTCGTCTCTCACTAAGAGAGAAGCAATTACTGGAGGGTTATGTGAAGTTTTAGAAGCTTTGGAAGCTTGTCTGCTCCACTGAAGCGCAGCGAAGCGAAGGTGGGAATTTCCCACGCACCTGCTCTCGCTCCTACATTTCGTTCGTCTTTCTCGCGGGCTTTCGATTTGTGCTTCCGGTGGCGGCGTCGCTTTTGCGGCGTTTGACGCGGTAGGCTTTGTCGGAATGGTGTTTGGGCTGACCATGTTTTGGGGGGATTTTGATGGAAGAAGCGGATGATGTGGACCAAGAGTTGGTCGAGATTTGAGTGAGCGTTGGGATTGAGATGCTGTTCGCGTTTTGTGAGGTGGGCTCAGAGCTCGGGCGATTGAATTAGTTTGGAAAAATCGGAGGATTTTCGGATCGGAGTGTGTGAATGTAGAGGAGCTCGTGCTCGTGCTCCTGCTTATGCAATGGCGTATTATTCGTATTCTCCTGATCTCATGAAGCGTCTCAAGGAGGAGTGAGTGGCGCTTTCTTTCCTTTCCTTGACGTGTCTCCGTGTTTATTGTTTTCTTGGTTTTGTTGTTGTTTGTGATCATAACGTGAATACGGTGGGGTATGCAGGTTTGTTAGTAATTTGGAGGGTACCACGATGCGGGAGATCGCCGCCATGTCTGCATTGTTTCCGGTAGGTCTTTTTTTACCCCAGTTCATGAATCGAGTATGGCAATACAGCGCTTGGTTATCCTTTTCTGTGCCTGAACCAGCTCTCAAATATTCATTGAGGTGGTCGGAGTTATCGCTGCTTGATATGATTGAGATTAATTTTCTGCCATAGTATATGGCTAGTTCGTGCATTGACTTAATTTGTGTTCTTGTTTACATAAATGAGTATATCGTATGACTTGAATTTGAAAATGTTTCGAATAGTCGGAATGAATATGTTTCGCACTTTACTTCGACTAACTGTCCTTAGCATTTTAATTGGAATGATGTATTGTAAGAACTGGATCAAGACCGGTCATTTTTGTGAGAAATGTTTTTTTTTTTTCTGTTCAGGCATTTTTGCTTCTGCGGCAGTGTTGGCCAGAATCCTCAGGTTTTCTTCAATCTCTTCTACTTGTTCATTAGTTTGAAATTGCTTGTATACATTGGAGTGGAAAGTGATGATCTAGCGAGGGAAATGTATCTTTAAGGATTGGTGTCTGTCGTTAACTTTACGAAATGGCTCATGGTTTTTCAGTATTGAAACCTGAGACGGGGAGCAGCGAAGAAGATTCAAAAAGCAGTATGATACGAACTAAGTTCTGGAGGAGCATTCTTTTGGATTTTTTGGTGATCGTTGTGCCCGCAGTGGCATGCCTTACGGTGAGATCCTTCCACTCAGTGCCATAAGCCACTTTCAGAATTGTCTTTTGTAGAATTCTATCTAGAATTTTGTCTCCAAGTGTACATCACACCAGTCGTTCTAATAGTGACAGACACAAATTTTTCTATGCCATGACTTGTGATGCTGCAGGTTCTTGCTGATTGGCTATACACCATTTTGCCTGTCACATTTGGATTACTTTTCCTTGTACTCGGTTCTAAAAGGTGGGTGTCATTCATGCCCCAGCTATGTCTTCAAAAGTTTAGTTTTATATTTAAGCTTACACGAGCTGACTCTGATGCATTTAAGTGTAAATGAACGTTTTGAAGGTCGCAGTCATCATCTATCATTGGAACCCCAGTGGAGAAAAATCGAAATGCAACACGAAAGATTTATCTCTCATCCTATCGATTTGTAATGGTACGTTGAATCCAGATTTTTGGTGATGTTGGTCTTATCACTGCCAAAGTTTTCAAGATTGCACAGGAGAGTTAATGGACCTTCAAATCTGTCATGCAGATGTTGGTTACTTGTATGACTATTTTAGCAATTGATTTTACTGTATTTCCGAGAAGGTACGGCAAAACAGAGACCTACGGAACAGGATTGGTATGAGTCGAATCACCCTAAGTCCACGAGTTGCGATTAATTTGCTTCTTCATTGCGGCTTCTGAATTATCATGGAATTTGGCCTAGAATGTACTTGAGATGGATGGTGAATGGACGGTTGGACTGATTAGTGCTGGGTAATCAAATAGATGGATCTTGGTGTGGGCTCCTTTGTGGTGGCAAATGCATTAGTGTCACGTCAAGCGCGCAACCTCCCACCTTCGTATGTGTCTTCTGACCCAAATTCTCTTCTGGATTGTGCATGTGTGAACATTGGTGTGGTTATTCTTGTTGCCTTGGACCTTGCTGCTGTACCCAGCAGCTTGCCATGCTAATGCATGACGAAACTGAATGTGAATTTGAGCGTATTCGATCATTATATTGTCTAGTTAAATTCGTAATAGATAGACCTCCAGAATTGGCATTGTAAAAGGGACAAAGATGAAGACTAACGGCTTGCTGTGGCCTGTGCTTTCTGGCATTATTACAGTAAGTATGGGGGTGTTCTACGGAATACGAGTCCCTTGCTGCTGCTGGGATTTATTCGGCTTATTGTGACGAAGGGTGTTGATTACCAGGTCAGTCTGAATGCCAACTTATTTTTGACGTTTCAGTTGGTTTATGCAATAGCGTTGTCTTAATATCCTGTAGTATGTGCGCAGGAACATGTCGGCGAATATGGAGTTCACTGGAACTTTTTTTTCACCTTGGCAGGGGTTTCCCTGCTAACCTCTCTGATCTCGATTAAGTCGTCTTGGTGTGGACCTTTAGGCATCACGATCCTTGCAGGTACAGAGTTCTGATGGAGCTTGCTTTTTCGTAATGCTTGTAATTGTTTTGTTCTTTTTCTTTTTTTTTCTTTTCCGCCATTGAATTCTTGTACTGGACGTTTGATATGTTAGAGCATCTCATAAGTCGACAAGTTCTTATGTAAGTCGTTTCCTGAGAATAACCCTGATCGAAAATTGCAGCTTTTAATCTTTTTCCACATGCAGTTTATCAGATAGTGCTCTCAAGTGGATTGAACGTATATTTATTATCACCACAACGAGGTCAAGGGCTTCTCAGCCTGAACAAAGAAGGAATTGCAAGTACCTTTGGTCAGTCTCCATCCTAGTGCCCTTCGGAATGCACAATTCATACGAAGGACATTGTTTCTTTATAAATGTTACTAAATTTTGTTTGGTGGAACATGACAGGTTATTGGGGTCTTTATTTGATCAGTGTCCATCTAGGTTATCTTCTCAATTCCAAACAGACAAACGTTGTGCAGACTATTTCTCCATCTTCAAATATTGAGACGGAAAAGAAAGCAGTGACATTGCGCCGGGGAGTCGTTGTTGGAATCTGGGTTCTTGATGTATTTCTATGGTAAGTCCTTTCATGCGTTACTAAGATTTTCTAATGTACCCTGGAAACCACGGTGAGCGAAGGTACTTGCAAATATCTGGGTTGCCAATTTACCCAATAAGTTAAGTTTGACTGGAATTTTGATACCTTGCCTGATCAATTGAAGCATGACTGAAAGCATGTGCCCATTATCATTTGATTTATGCAGGGTTTTAACTGTCTGGGCAGATTACTTTGTGGAGAGAATCTCTAGAAGAACGGTGATTATTCTGAAGCATCTTTAAAAGATTGTCTTGTTTTGTAATGATCACTTGAGTGTATTTATGTCAAATGCGGTTCTGAAGTTTACTATGTGGCAATTCTTAGATATTTGTTTGTAGATTTAGAACAAATTGTTCCGTTCCTACAACTCAACTTTCAACGGTGGTTTTATTTCAGAATGTTGATTAGGGTTTTTCTTGGTGTTGATTGCAGTGCAACTTGTCATATGTTTTGTTCGTGTTGGCTCAGAATTTTGAGGTATGTTTCAATACTGTCACTGCTGTTTATTTATTACGTTAATAGGGTGTCTTGCACAGGGTATATCCACTGCGTTTTTTCTGATGACGTGAATTTAGGAAAGCTCTTGCGAGGGAATAATGAAAGAAGGTACGATGTGTTTTTCTTAGTAACCAGAGTGGAAGGACCTGATTGCCTTGTTGACTCTTGCAGGTGATAGGCATTTTTATGCTTGCTGAAGTATTGGCCCCACTAAGAGAAATTGCGATTCTCAATGTATTTGATCGCAACATGCTGCCTACTTTTCTTCTGGTAAGTGGGAACATTTCCTCTGATTATTATGACTTTGAAACGGACTTCATTTTGCCCTTCATTAAAATTATCTTATTTTGCATTTTAACAGTTTTTGTTTAGATCCTGCCAATGAACTTGAATTGACTAATCGGGGTACAATGCAGGCAAACCTGTTGACAGGATTGGTCAACATGAGCATGTACACCATCTTTGTGGCTCCAGCAAAGGCCGTTGTGGTTGTAATGCTGTACGCATTGACTTTAGTGGGTCTCATGGGACTAGTCGACGTGAAAAAGCTGAAGCTCAAATTTTGGTAGACTTATTGACTACTTCCTAAATGCTAGTATGGTATGCCCTCATATATTTACTACTTTATATGGTAAGATATTCATTTGCAGAGTGCTGTACTTTGATTGGTGAAGCTCATAATCAAACGCTTGTAAAGTAAATCGAACCCATTAAAACATGAGTTTAACGCTGGACCTATTTCCTGAACAAAGTGTGCCGCAACATTTTTCCACGATTGTGAGACCAATTCTTGCAGGACTCCAAGTGAAGAAAAACTATGACTGTATGCGCCACATGTATCTGGGAACGCACCAACGTCAACCAACTTAGTGAGCGTGTATAGTTGATGCTGCGTCTAAAGATAAGATGGCACCGCTAATGCAAATTTTTTTCATGATAAAAACGTTTACACGAAAATACTCTACTGCCTATGAAAGTATTGATAAGGGCCAAATTTAATCGACCTACAAACTTGCCTTCGAATCCATCCGCCACAGGAGTAGGGCTCTGTAGCTGTGACAGGTCGTACTACTCCCTATCTACACTCTGCATACCTTGCAATTTGGCTGAAGTACATGGTTAGGGTTTCGAAAATACATGCTAACGTTCAGAGGGTTAACTTCAGAAATTGTACCAACAAGTAGAGCAGCGCGACCACCAAACCAACCTGGTAAAGATCCTTCTGCGGGTTATCTTCCATTTGGAAAAACTGCACACGAGAAAATTTCAAAATTGACGAATCAGACGCTGTTGATGAACTGCTCCTGCTTCACAAGAGAACGTTCGGCTTTTCCTACGATACTGCAAACTCTTTTCTCGAGGTTAACGAATCATAACCCTCAATTAAAAGCCGAGAGAAGAGAACCTGGAAGAGCAAATGATGGTTGCATTCAAAATGTTAAAAAAATGAACATCAAATTTTGAGGTTTGCAACGTCTGGGGACTTACTTTTCTTGGATCACCGGATGGGTCCGGATAGATTGAGTTACTGTTGTTTTCTTGGCCTTTATCTAGTTGCTTCGCTATTCCTTGCACACCAGATGCAAAGTTCTTTCCTCCCTCCACAGCTGAGAAGGCCAATCTTGCGGTCCAGAAGTAGGCCTGTGCGGCTGGATCTGAGGCTGACAAGTCCCACTCGTCTTCATGCAAAGTAACCTGGCCACTGATCTGGTTCATAGTGAAGGTTGAGCTCACAGCTAGCACGACCCTACCACCCAATGCAGATGCTGGCGGAAGCTTCGGCGTCCCAGTGACGGTCCACTTGATCTTCAGTACGCTTGTGGATATCATCTTCATCTCACGCACTGCCTGGGCCAGACGAGATCTGAAGTTAATTGATCATCAAACCAAGTTGCACAAGTAGGCAGGAAACTCAACGATTAAAACTCGAGACAATCCCAATTTACTCACTTCATTACCCAAGCTGAAGCGTAAGCCTCATCGGTTTGAAAGCCAGGCAATAATTACTAGGAGACAGACACTGGATTAAGTGAAGAACGTACCACTGTGGGCTTCTCCAAGGCAGTCTTGATCCAGTTTGCGCCTTTGTACTTGTCCCGCCCTTTAAATGATCGAAGTGGATCCTGCAAGTTAGGAGAATATTCTCAGGCTGTGAGAAAAATCACATGCATTGCATTTACGTCACGTAGTATCAATCAATACTGGCAAGGGATCACAGTGATAGCGCAACCATTTCTACGAATAATTCACTCCATGTGTAAGGACTGAGCAATGCTGAAACATTCGAACCTTATATTCAACATTAACTCCGAAATTTGACAATGATCTCTCGCCCTCTCGAAGGTCTATGATGTCCTTCACAAGCTGCCGTGCCGTTCTTTCTACAGCCGGACTGCTAATGCACTCAAACTCGTCACATAGCTGGCCAAAGGAAAGTCCGTCCATAAGTCTGTCCACTTCAGTCTTTTCAGCTGTTTTATCAACAACAGATGTAGTGGCACCATCCTCAGGACCTCGGTCGCTAGTGTCTGCTCGGACTCTAAATGAAGCTGCTGCAACCATTTGAAATAACAAGCATTTTATCTCAGTGAGTTGCACATGATGTGGTGTCGGATCCCTTGGTATCTTAGTAAAATTCAATAATCACTAAATCTCATCTTGAAGACAAATGAGACAAAGTCACATTGAGCACACACTAAATAGCTTCAACGGGTTCACAAGGTTTGAGTGGTCTCTGAAATTTGCCATTCAATGTAATCAAGACACAACCAAACTATGGTGAAGAGCTATGCCGACTGTAGCCATCTACTCACAAACACTCTACTTCATGCTTAACAAAATTGAGTGGCTAACAATGTCTCTGCAGTATATGCAAATCATTTCTCCACTTATCAATCCGCGTGGTCTAACATCAGATTCACTATCGCACTAACCACTTCAATCCATAACCTAGAAGAGATGGCAAGTAAAACCGCTGAAGAGATCGCATGCCTCCCAAAATCAGACAATTTGCAAATTCTAGGCACATTCAGATAACCTACACAGATAGACTTTGCCCACAGTTTACTTCCTACAAAAAGCACATCTATTTGTGGCGTTATAAATTTGCTCATGAGACCAAACTATTTTAGCCGTCGGTATCAAAAGACAACACCGAAGACAAGTCAGCCCAAGATGAGAATTCTAGAACAGTAACCCGCTGATAACGATTCGAAATCCTACTGTGTCCTTTACTCGCCCTAGGATGACAGAATTCACAATTGTGATTCGCTATTTGCAAGCCGACGCACTCTTAAATCTTCCGTTTCAGCCATTTTGCTTGCCTTACAAATATAACCATCAATTCATCCACAACATAGAGAATGATGCAATGGGACTCTGACCAGATCTCAAGCGTTGGGAAGACTTGGGCAAAGGCAGAGTGAATCCATGGCACAATGTCTTCAACGAAGTCGTCGTGCGGGCCGGTTTGTTAGCTCCAATGTTTCTTTCTAGTAGAGAACTTGTAGCTGGGATCGCGGTAAGAGCCCCAAGGGGTCCAACTCCCATGGTCGCTGCCATACAAGCTCCTCCACTACGGCCCTCTAACAGCCTCTCCCACAACTCCAACAACTCAAATATACTCCTACAGCTCCCACAACCCCAAAACGCAAATGTGCTTCTCTAATCTCCGAACTCTTCCAAGGCTCGCCACTCCTCCGCAACCTCTAATCTCAACACAAGCAATCAAAACCGCCCGCAAATAGTGGAGGCCTAAATTTGAATGCTTCACAACCTCTCATAACGCTTATGAGACAATATCCAAAGAGTGATACGGGCAACTTTTTAGGAGCGGCTCCTGTGTGGCAGATATCGGACAGCATCCGAATTTGCGCCAGAGGTGTTTTCGAAAGTCCCCACCGTAACCAGCTCAGCTCAGACAGGAAGGAACATCTGATTTGTGTTGGCATGAATTGATAGCCCGATTGGATTGACAGCTCCAGAAGATTCCGCGATTGAACTTCCGCAGCTCAATCTGCGCAGCACTATCTAGAAGCCAAGGAAAGTATTTGTCCGGGGATCACAAAAGCAGAAAGCAACCGACCTATCCGCAATCCAACTTTCTTAGTCCATCGAACGGCACACAACGGCTACTGTTATGCTGGAGAACTGCACTCGTGGATAGAGGAACTAAAACGAATATGTAAAATTGGGTGGCAATCGCAATCATAGTCATTGCAAGAATTTTTTGTGACGCAACTATTGCCCGAGTCAACCGAGAATCCAGTAGGGTGACTGGTGCAGAATCTGAAGTAGGTTGGGAGGAGCAGGAGCAGGAGCAGGTTCACAAGAGGCAGAAAACACAACACAATTTAAAGACAAGGAGAAAATTCCAGTAGACAGCAGAATTCACAAGCTGCTCCTTGAAGAGTTTACTCATTTTAGGTTCGTGATTTTTTTTCTTTTCTCATTTAAAAGCTCTCAGGAATGAAGTACGCGCTCGTGTCGTCTTGGGCTTTCGAGAGACTTCTTCACTTGTCATATGACTATCAGCTACTATGCAACAGAACTCACTAGATAATACACGATTCATGTAGTACTTGGAGTTGGTTCAAAAATAGCATTAAACCCGAGAGGGGAATAAGCAGTTTTGAAGAAAGCAAATGTAACAGATTAGAATGCTTCGGGATGATGCCCTGACCCAAGAAGCCTGGTCTAGTGTACAGAGGAGCTACTGGCTAAACCCAATTGCAGTCGCACCTCAAATTGTTCCTAAAATTTTTCTATGCTAGCTTGCGGGGAGGAAGTACATGATAGTGGAGAAGCTTGCGCTCCTGGCCACCGATAACCAAGGGCCACTTCTTGTCAGCCCGCATATGCATGGCACGTGTAACCTCGGCGTTTCCGCTGAGGGCGTATACATCAGCACAACTACATTGAGATTTCAAAAACCGGCCGAGCCCTTGCCAGGTTTCATACACCCACTCGTTTTCTTCATTTCTGCAGAACCTAACCGAGAGAGGGATCAGCAGCAAGAAGAATCATCCCTGATAACTAGGAATGCCAGTTTGAACCTAGGATTGAGAAATTCGAAATTTTTCAAGGGTTTCCTAAAACCCACGAACCGGATGGTTTGGAACTACCAAGCCTAACCAATGAATACAACAGTGAAAACTACAAATATATTCTTCGAGGAAATGCTAATCTAATAACATAAAGAGGAAGTAGCGCAAACCTCGAGTCGATGAGACGTTCTCCCCATGGAGGGTTGGTTACTACAAGAGAGGGTACAACAAGGGGCTTATATTCTTGAATATCTTTACAACTGAGTTCTAACAAATGACGAACACCCGCAGTTGACGCATCTCTGTGGCACAACGATAAAGCCCCTGCATGTATATCGTTTCCTAATAACCTCACTCCAGACAACGAGGACTGCTGCATTGATACTGCATTGTCCTTGCACTGTTTCCAAGCGTTCTCATCAAAATCATGCCATTTCTGAAAAACAAACACGGGACAGCATTCAGAGATGTATGCAAATCATTTTCAGCTTCAATTTTGTTCACAAAAAGGATGATCAAAGCTTCGGGTTCTGTTTGAGGGTCTTAAGTTCTTGGAAAAACTGTTAGTGCCTGTGTCCAAGTCCTGTGTCCAAGTCCTTCTCCGAAACAGCATAGGGAACTAACAGAATGCCAAGGGTTTGGAACTTAAAAGTTTGAGATCTTCAATTGAAAAGACTGGAGTCTGAAATTTACCTGGAAGGGCCACTGTCGACGCATCAATCCGGGTGCAACATTGCTAGCCATGAGAGCAGCTTCAATCAAAAATGTACCTGAACCGCACATGGGATCCAATAAAACGCGCTCTTCGCCTGGTGCGTTCACATTTGCATCACCAAATCCAGGCACTGCCCGGTTCCAGCCTGCTATTGTCAAAACAGCAGCAGCAATGCCTTCGTTCAAACTAGCCCTGTGCATAACGTCCCGATAGCCCCGCTTGTGAAGGCTGACTCCAGACATATCTCTATACAAAACTGCCTCATCTCTGAACAGGAAGAGAAACAAAGGTACATCCGCCGTAGATCCTCCATGCTCTGGCGGCTCGGGTCGATGGCCACCACAAGCTTCACGCATAGCATCGCAGATCGCATCTTTGGCCCTCACACTCGCAAAAGCCGAGTTGTGAATGTCAGTACAACTCCACACCCTGCTTTGCACCCCAAAGTTCCTAAACCTAGGAGCTTGTGCTGAATGAGTTGCAGTCCCAGCTCGAGAGTTGGACATCTCATCGCCCCTCCCTCCAGAGTTACTCCTCGGTCTATATCTTTCTGCACAAATTCGAGAGTCGCTACATATCAACAGAATAACAATCATCATGAAATTAATAGAACGGTGGTATATGACTAAAATAACACTGAGAACTAGAACAGAAGTTTTTGAACTGACTGACCATTCGAATCTGGTTGCTGTGTATGGGATGAGCTGTCGTCAAGAAGGATTGAAGGCCAATCTATAGCATCTCTAATAAACGTGTAGACAGGATCATTCCGGCCACGGCCTTCAGGCAAAGGCCCGGCAGCAAGCTGCACTAGTACACGAACTGCAGTACGCAGCCAAAGACTAGCCTTGTAACCCGTAACCTTCAAGCCCACAAAAGATACCCCAGCCTTGCCAACTTCTACCTCCTGAGCGCCGATGAGGGGCGAAGAAAGCTCTGCTGCAAGCACAGTTTCCAATCCCGGTGCGCAAGTTGCAAAATATTTCGTCAAAGTCTCATTTTCACCTCTTCTCACCTCTCTCGCCTTGTGGTCCAAAATATCAGAGATTAGTTTCAAACCAGCAAGTGACCGCTGCAATTGCTCGATATTTGGCGAAAACTGAAAGTTCTACGTCAAATGAGCAATAGTGTGATACCTTAAATTGAATCCTATTCTTGACACCAAAATTTGAAAAACGGCTGGGGCGACTCGAAGTGTTGACGCTATCCTCAAATTCTCGACTGGAAGCGTCTGCTCGGACGCTAAATGGGGCTGCAACGACGTTCACACAACAAGAATCAATTTTAGTGTATTTTCACATGAGTATCTCAAACACCTAACGTCTTGACAAATTCTTTCGCTCTGAGATAAATGGGGTTAGACAATTGTATAGCCTACAAATAATAGATGACGTGCTCGCAATGGTTTCACACATAACTGCAACTTGGTATTTCTTATCATCTGAGTAAGAACTTCCAACTTGGGATAGGGTTATAGACCAACTGCAGTTGTGCAACCACATAACCACACATACACACACCTCGAGGTGATATACATTTACGAAGCTGAATATATATCCCTATGCAACAAGCGAGCGGCATTCGTCTGGGTATGAATACTAGACAATGAGAGCAGTGCGAAAGATATCATGACACTCAATTCATTACCAGAAGATTCAACTAGTGACTTGCATGCATATAACGTCAATAACGCGTCTCAATAATTCATTATGTACGTTCATGAATTCAGCTGTGATCTTTACAATTAGGTTACATAACAGGCGTAAGAACATCGACCTTCACAACCGAAATCAAAGTAAACGGATTAGAGGGTAAGCGGGCTCGATTCACCGACCAAAGTGGAAATTCCAGTACACTACTACAACACCATCTATTCGCACTAAGAAGACAAAATCTATCATTTGGGTTAATTAAAGTTGATTAATTGTCCCAATAAGATATTTCTAACCATTGCTGACCACCTCCAAATATCAACGTAAACAAAAACCCCGAAAATTTATATATATATGCAAAATCTGATGGTAAAACAGGACACAAACCACATCCTGGGCGCTGGAAACGCTTGGTCGACGGAGACGACCACTCAAAGCACGATTTCCTCAATGAAGTCGTCGTGCTGGCTCCGATGCTTCTATCCAACCGCGAAATCGCAGCTGGAATTGTAGACAGAGTCCTGAAGGGTCCAACTCCCACGGAGGTTCCCATAGTACCCCACCACGGCCCCTCCAAACACCGTTCGAAGGTCCGCTACAATCCTAAACCCACAGCCTTCTGCCAAACAACGTCAATAACCCTTCCAAACCTCACCACTCACTCCCCAACGCCTCCAATACCCACGAAGTCAAAACCCAGCGGGTGCCTGCATTCTACAGCTTCGAGAACCTCTCACAAATACATTTGATTTTAGAACTGGTTGCCAGCTTTCGAACAAGACCTACGTAGCAAAATTGGGACCCGCAACAGCATTTCAATGCAGAAAACACGTTAAGTGTAATCCCTTTGCAGCTCCAAGAGTACCAGAAACTCCCTGCGCTGTAAACTGCTTATGAGCTACCTCGATAGATTGCTGGAGACCCAATTCGCAAGAGCGCCAAGCTCCTCGAGCTTGAAGCTACGGGGAAAGAAGGTCGTGTGGATTTGCGGGGCCACACGATCTTGAGCTTCAATAACTCCAGCAACAGCTTCCAGACACCGTCAAGGTTGAGGGTTTAAACCGGAGAGCCTGTTTGGCTTTGTCATGTATTTAAATAACATTTTTCCATTGTTTTGGATCTGATGTTTGTAAATATCCACGTGTTCAGATAGAACAGAAAATGAATATATCTGTATATGCATGTATATATATATATATATATATATACATATAGAATGCCATGTATATGCATTTACACAACGTGCATATACATATGTATATGTATATGCATATATATATATATATATATATACATATCTATGCAAAATGACTCATATTGAATGTATCATGGTTGTGTAAATGTATTGTTAACATTTAAAAATTAATAAATTAGGTTTAGGAACATATGCCATAGAAGGCCAAATTAGTTCTTTTTGTGTATTCAAAAGGTTATAGAATAGTTCTGGAAAAGGAGTTTTTAATATATTAAACGTGGGGACTTGTCAAAGCTTGTCAAAACAAAATTTAAATCTTAACAATTCATTTGGTTAAGGACAAAGGTTAATATTTGGTTAAGAAAGTTAATGTTTTACCATGATCATAGTAAAGCATTACATAATTAGCACAGAATGTGCACATGAACTTACATAAGTGGTGCAAAATCAAAAGAATTGTTATAATAAATAAATTGTAGTATTTATATTACCTTTTAGATTATTGTAAAAATGAGTTGATAGTATTCAAACTTGTACATTTTACTTGTATAGGCACAATTACTAAAACTAGTAGTGCAAACTTATTTTTAAATAGGAGCTCTTCTTTGCAAATAAATAACTGAACAGGAAAATAGAATCATAATTAAAAACAGAAAACACCATCCAAGGAAAGTTTTTGAAGGAACTTATCAAACACTTTAGAAAGCAGTAGGATTACATAAATATATCAGTTTTATTTTTAAATTGTCAAATCTAACTACAACTTACATTGACACATTTCATCAAAAATTGCATAAAATTAATCAAAATAAGACATTATTAACAATTCTTGGACAAACTAAACATTGTTTTCACAACAAAACTTAAATATTTTTTTGAGTAAGACAAATGTCAATTTACAAAAAGATTAAAATTTCATCACAACATCATTTGATGACATAGTATTTAATTATTGAGAATTGTTGTGAGATTCAATGCATTATGTGAAATGATGTGTATCACTGTCTGAACTTTATCCTTTTATTCAATAAGTTTATACAAATATTACATGTATCATTGGAAGCAAGGAAAGCAATGCTGGTTTAACGTTCATTTGCATGATAATATGCCTAAAAAAGGGCATGTTAACCTCATGATTTTCACCTTGCTCTGCTATGTCTCACCTCTAAGGTTTGAGTCAATAAGTCTTATATAAGACTTTGTATTAACATATTGTGGTATACACAAATAAAGTCGAATTTAAGTGAAGGCGGGTGATTTCCAGAAAACCCTTGAGCTTGGTATTTTTACAAGGATATGGTTCCTGGAGGATGGATACTGTGGAAATAACCTAAGCAAAATAATTCTGGTGCTTCTAGATCTCATCACCAAATATGCATAAAGTTAACTTTGTACAAGCCAATCTTCGTGCTATAATGATAGTATAATTACAGAAAATACTAGGAGGTCCTAATCTAAAACGATGTAGGAACGAAACTAACTCTAGTCCGGCTCTACAACTTTAGGATATGCAGACTACTGCTGCCGCTCAGAGGGTATGGATGATATGTGCTGTAAGTCTAGAACAAGGACATGGGCAAACAAGCTCAAAGAACGCATGTCTCCAGATGCATCATTTACATCCTGATCTTACGAAGACCCAAATTCGGTTAGCCACTTTTCATGGCGCTCAATATCTGCGGTGGAAACACTCCTAGAGATTTTGTTGATAGCTTCATCAAAATCACGCATTGCCACTGGCTCGTACATCTCGTCCTTGGTCATGTTTTTTATCTCCTCTGGGGTTTTTCCAGAAATTTTCCGCCGCATACCGTTCATTGATGCATCCCTACAAATGTTAGTGAGGTCATCACCACTGTAACCTTCAGTTCGCTTAGCAAGGGCATCTATATCCACATCCTTGGCAACCTGCATCACAAGCCGATATGACCATCAGTTAAGCTACGTACTCCAGGCGCAGCATGGGATTCGAAAGAATACAACTTGAACATGAAACTAAACGGTTCTGAAGTTCTGAACGAGTCTTTAACCGAAAAGCTCAGAGTAGACCAATAGAATACAGTATTCAAACTCTCTACTCTCTGTCACAGTTACTGCACACTTTCAAACGACGTCGAAACTGACGGTTTCCTTCAGAAAACTGCCAGGAATCCGTCATCAAATGCTCTCTAATGCTGCTTCCTTAAGAAGAAGAAGAAGCCATCCTGACAGCCGTATTGGAGAATGAAATTGAGACAAATAGAAAAAAGAAAAGAGAGAGAGAGAGAGAGAGAGAGAGAGAGGGGTTAGCTTAGACCTCAATATCTTTGAGGTTGATGCGAATGAGTTCCCGCCGACCCTCTTCTACTGGAAGAGGAATGTAAATCCTCTTTTCAAGTCGTCTCCTGCATCAAAAAGAAACCAAGATATCATATCATTCGACCCTTTATTTAGTAACCTTCGTTTAGTAGAAGTACTTCTCTTCCTTTTCGTCACACACAAGAAACAGCCCTAGAAAACTGACAAAAATGTAACCTAAAAAATATTCCATCTATCAGATGCATCAGCCTTTCAATATGTGCTCCAAACCTGAGTGCTTCGTCAATGTCCCAAGGGAAGTTTGTTGCTGCTAACACCATAACGATTTTCTTTTCACCATCCTCGCCTGTGCCATTCACACCATCCACTTGCACAAGTAGCTCTGATTTCACTCGTCTCGATGACTCGTGCTCTCCAGATGAACTGCGTATACAGGATGGACAAAAAGACTGTATCATAAATATTGCTCTCAGAATGATAACCAACAGTGCTGCAAGAAATCTAACAGAAACTTCATACTAAAATCTAGAGACAACCAACTGTAAATTGCAGAAAAGCAATCAGAAGCAAAAATTAATGATTAGGATGGTGATCCTCAAAAGCACCTGAAAATATTTTCATTCCTAGCTGCACCGTAAAATCCTAAGAGAAAAGCACAGAGATCAGACTTACCCACGGGCATTGCAGAGAGAATCGATCTCGTCAATGAATATTGTGCTAGGAGCGTAGGCACGGGCAAGATCAAATAAGACTCTCACCATACGCTCACTCTCCCCTCGCCATTTTGATGCCAGCGTGGCGGACGAGACGTTAAAGAAGGTAGTCCCGCACTCTGTTGCCACTGCTTTCGCTAGAAGTGTTTTACCTGCATTCAAGCCAATATAAGATCACAATCTAGCACTATTGGCTCAAAAGTGGAAAGAGCGACGAGGTTCAAATAAAAATCAAATTATTTACCAGTGCCGGGTGGACCAAACATCAGCACCCCTTTCCACGGGCGCCGAATCCCCTACACACCCAATTTTGCTAATTCAGAACCGAAATGCTGAAAAGGGAATGTATCATAACGCAACATGCATCAAATATCCAGAGTATACCTCGCTGTGAATCCTTCCTCAAGTCGCTTCATCCAAATAGCAGTGAGCAATCATTAGAACAAATAGACCATGCGTGGTCTTAACAACAAAACAATGCATGATTGGCGGTGTGATTCGACACCTGGAAATATTCAGGCATCCAAAGAGGCAAAACCACAGCTTCCTCTAGCAAACGCTTTGCTTCAGTGAGACCCGCAATGTGCTCCCATCGGACACCAGGACTACTCTCAAGGACATCTCTTTCCAACATAGCCGCAAGCTCAGTGTCGGGACCTTCGTATTTTCCTTTTCTACTAGGCATTCCTCGTGGTACCTCCTCTTCTGGGGCCCCATTCTGTAGGATGAGTCAAAACTCATGTCAGGCACTCCCCGAAAATAAATTTTCACCCCTACCGGCGAGATGAAGCGATCATCCCACCACGATTACAGGTGCTGAGCATAATTCTAATTGAGGCCAGTAGAAGAAATATCATGAAATTCCATTCCACTGATACTAAAATAGCAAAGACAAAATGCACTTGAAAAAAAGTGATTAAAATTCAACAGTACCAATGCTTCTCGTTTAGTGGAGGTTGAGCGACCAGTCATGCTAGTGCTTTTGCGAGGGCCCGTGTTGCCAGGAAGAGAAGATCCCTTCGAAACCGCCCCAGCTCCTGCGCCAAAGCTTTTAGACGAAGCTGTTGTGATCACCTTATTTCCTCGCCCCACTTGAGTGGAAGCCTTATCCCCTGCTCCTCTAGCGTAGGCAGCCATTCGTTTAGCTTGAGAAGCTGCTGCCATTTGGCCTGCTTTTGTTGGCCGTCTTGTTCCGTACTGTGGAAGAATATCGCGACTAGGAGGTCTCCAAACATCGGGGTCGTCAAGGGGATCTGACCTCGAATTATCTGTTCGACTTGGAGGATGAGACACAAATATTTCTTCAACAGGAAAGAAAGTATCTCGTTCTTCCCTGTAACGTTCTTGCGCATGGCGTATTGATGATGCAGCTACTGCTATTGGCGGAGATGACGGACGAGGATGACTGCCAGGAGCATCCTTGAAGGCTTGCCTCTCAGCGTCAATCTGCTTCACAATATCGAATTCTTCCATAAGATCTTTCTTGCATTTATTCCACTTAGTACGAAGATATGGATCGCCCACATTGCTTAAATGCCTGGGCAGACAAAGACGGACGCAGAAAATAACACCTAGGATGTCAGAAACAAATTTACAAACAAATCAAATTAGTAAACAATCGAAGAAGTGTACCAACGCTGTTGAAGCTGGGAGTGCAATGGCATATTTTGACCTGACCCTCTCTAGGTAGTACTACAACGACTTAATTCCTTCAAGGAACTCGACCGAATGCAAGATACAGAAACAGATTCAATTGCTGCTCAGCCCTTTTAAATGGACTGAAGGAATGGCTGCGGATTACACGCACTGAGGTGAACTCTTACGCAATACTAACATCTATGCTCTAACGAAAAGAATTGTTTTCTAATCTAGATAATCTTAGCAGCATTCACGTTACAAGAGAAAAATGGATAACATAATCCTAAGAATCATAATCCACCCCAAACAATATTAGGGCTTAGCTCTATGTAGAGGCTGTGGGACCTATGAAGTCGCAATGGTGTACAAATCTGTTTCATAACCTGTACGCTACGTGACATCCGACAAAGGAAAAAGAGGAAGCAAGGAGGAAGGGAACGGGAGGGAGAAAAAGGGTGCATTCCCTACTTATTAATTTGCGCGTGAACTCCTTCAAAAAAAATCAGAGCGGTGTCATAGTTTCCTAGCAATGCGTACTCCCGGGCTAAGGTGAGGTGTTCGCCTAAGGTGTCTAATGGCCCTCCCATGCTGTCCTCCTCGTCCCGCAACGACCTCTTCAACTCACTCCACCCCTGCAAATTACCTCAGCAACAAACCCATCACAAAACACCCTCTCCCCAATCCCTTCTTCTCGTTCCTCCTGCTAAAACTCTACTCTTATGACGATCTCCAACACACTTCTCCAAACGCCATCAAATCATTGCCTCCTACCACACCACTCAACCCGCACCAAATCTCTACACATCTTCGCCGCACTCCACAAAACCTCTGCAGCTTCTATTCCAAAACCTGCCAAATCCAACCCAGACCTCAAAATCAGAAGCTCCCCGGGTCCATCGACCACCACCCCAGCAACAATCGCACTGACAACAACCTGTAATCACAGCACAATAATGCCGCATTCAGCCGGGCCCGCTGTACCTTCTCCTCGCCTCTAAGCCTTCACTTTGCGACACAAAAGCTCTTTAGCGTTGGCCAATCTTTCTAAACCGTAATTGAACCCACAAGCGCCGTGATCTAATCGAAACTTCATGAAACTACAAAACCGATCCGATGCAGCATGCAATCCGGATCAGCAGAAATATCGGTAGCTGTTTGGCAATCGTGATCCCCTCTCGTGAAGTCTAGCCAAGATGCAGAATACTGGCCATTCTCGAATGGCTTGAATGGCAATTTTTCGTTTTTTTTTTTTTTCTTTCTTTCTTTTTTTTCTTCTTCTGGAATTCATGTTAGTTATCTCTTTCCGTAAATTCGAATTGTGTGCTTCGAGAATTCGGAGAGAGAGAGAGAGAGACAGCTAGTTGAATGAGTTTTTAATTTGAACGGGGGTAATGCGCTTGGATAATGGCGCTACCGTTCTTGGCGCGTTTTCCACCTCCATTCCCAAGACCAGGTAGGAGTTTCAAAAAGTTTCAAAGTGACGATGGATGGAGTGTGGGTTTGTTTCAACCCATTAAAATGTTGATGATGAAGCAGACTAATTCGAAAAGTAATGAATAAAAAAATCGTTAGCTTCATTTGATTCCAAGGTGCATATGTTGTTTTGTATTATTCTATTGTGATGCTTAAACCAAAGAATAAATTCGAAACCTTACAATGAAAATAAATAATTTTTTTGCCTTGTTTTATTTTCAATCGTTCAGATTAACTCAGTGGCATACACAAAATTTCTGGATGTTTAAAGTATTGATGGATCAGATTTTTATACTCTTTTGATTGTTAACCAGATGTAGCATTTCTAAGTTTTTTTTTAATCGTTGAGTTTATTTTGAACAATGATTTGAGAATTTGAAAGTTTGGTAAAATGAAAGAAGAACCTCAAAACAACATAAACATCATTACATGACCTTCAGTTTTATATACAACTGTACATGAATATACATTGCATTCAAGTTGATAAAATAGAAACAAGATTTTATAAAATACATATCTAAAACTTAAACACTAAATCTGTAAGAAAGTATAAAATAAATGTAATTTACCCATTTTTAATAGATAGCACACACACACACACAAACATATATATATATATATATATATATATATATAACTCCGGGATAAATTATTCACTCTCTTCTGCAGCAACATTTGAAAACTAAAAACTTAGGGTGATTTTTAAAACTATCAATTACAAAATAACCAAATCCGTGTATGCCACTATTATCATAAAACACACATACATTTATTATATTTAAACGTAATTATGTTTTAATATCATGAAGTTATATTTAAAATAATGAGTTCTCTTAGAAGAAAGTTAATAAATCAACATATGTAGTTATGCTGTTGTCAAACTTAAATGTGTTATATAAATCAATTTTGTCAATGCAAGAATGAATACAGTAAAACTAATATAAACAACTTTGGTCTCTTCAAAAATGTTTAGACCTCTCCAAGACCATCCACAAAATCCAGCATCTAATATCCAAGTACTAAAAGAAAAGAATAGAAAACAAAACATACATCAAGCTTTGAGAAGAAGAATCTTCACAACATGAATGGAGAAGTGTAACACAAGGTGTATAAGAAAAACCCCATTATGTAGAAAAATATTTCACTCACAACTGAAGATAAATCCTTTTTATGAATAATCAAGCAATGCTCACACAAATGCACAAGATTTAGATGCAACTTGTCTCACCCAAATTCATTCAGGAATTCATTATTTATGGTCAGAAGCATTTTAAAATGCCACCCTCTCCATGCCCTAATCCAATGCTGATGGGCGCAGTGTGAACGCGGTAAAACTATCGTAGCATTGTGAACGCAACAAAAGTGTCGTGACAGTGTGAACAGGGTCCAAATATTGTAGCAGTGTGAACGAGGTTCCAATATCGTGGCAGTGTGAACGCGGCCCCTTCATAAATTCTCCCCAATTGCAAACTGGAGAGGAAGCTTTGGGCGCGTGCCGCAGCGGCGAAGCGGGTGAAGAAGAGTGCGCATCGAGCGTGTATGAATCTATCTGTCGCGCTTGATCGGGGGTTTTCCAGCTTCAGTGCGAAATAGCAAACCAGGATTTTCTTTAAGTGTGGACGCTTTAGAATTTTCGGCATTCTGTTCTCCGCATGTGATGTGAGTGAGGGTAGCTCTTATTAAGCCATGGCGGCCATGGAGTCACTGCGCCTCGCTCTCGATCCTTTCCCGGCGCTGGTCGCTTCTGCACGTACGACGGTGTTCTAGTTCTTCACTTTTGCTTTGTCTCTGAATGGGTTGGGTTTCGTAATTGGTCCCATTCAATCCATGACATTGGCCTTGTTGCTGAATTCCTTCTCTTTTAGAGCTCTGCTTGGTTTCGAAATCAGAATGAATTCGTATTTTTTGTAAAATTGGCGAGTTGTGCTTTTTGTTGGGGTTGTGGTGGCAGCTCCCTCAAAAGTCGATCGTCAGTTGCGTGAGGTGGCCGCTGCTCTCACTGCTCTACTTGCGTCGGAGGTAGCCCTGTCTTGAATGCTTTGCATTTTAACATGGTTTATTTTGCTTAATTAGAAAAATACGATAGTAAGATTACTTATTCAGCATTTTAAAAAATAAAATAACACCATTATCTTATTATTATTGTTATTATGGTGGGGACACCAGTAGTGTGCAGTATGGAAATGATTCACATGCATCATACTTAAAAACGCACTGCCACTGCATTGAGGTACAGCAGGAGATGGATGAAGTATTGCAGGAAAGGCAGGCTGTGCAAGATGCAGTGCTCCTTCTGCTTGATACTTTTTGCCGTGCACATGCAGAAGGTACATATCTCCTCAACTCTTCACATAGCATCACCATTCATATTCTGTGACGATATTTAAGTAGGTGTGAATTGGCATTAAAAACCAATTTGTTAGCAAAAGTAGCTTGTAACTTGTCAAATTAGCCATCTGTAATTATCATCCCTTTTTGCGCTTGGTGGAGTTTCCATGTCTCCAGAATCATTTGAAGGTTTTCAATATGCTTACTGCTTCGTGGTGGTCCTTGTTTGTCACAGATCATATGTCAGACCATACGAAGTTGGGGTCGTGGCGTTTGCCGTACGTAGCCATGCTGCACAGCTATTCTTTTTTGCATCTGCCTCTTATAAGACATTTGGAGATGTTGTTGCACTCTTCTGGAGCTTCCCTGGGTCCTGTACAGTGCTCAGCCCTTAGCGCTTTCGTTTTATTCATGAACCCCTTTCATATCCTTCCGAAAGATGTGACAGTAGATGTAGATCAAGTAGACAGTAATTCTAAAGATTTCAAACACAGTACTTCGCCAAGTTCCAAGGACAGTATGGATGGTATTGAGATTGCCAACAATTCTCCTAATCGGGAACTGAAGTCAACAATGAAGGAAAAGCAAGTGGGTAAATGTCGTGTTAAAGCATTGTTTGAATGGCGTTGGGAGGCTTGCTTCAAAGCCGAAACTTCGGCCCTTAAATCCGCATACAAGGTTGGGCACGATTGTCAGGTGCGAAGTGAAGGCTCGGAGTCTGGGAGGAATGCGGCAGAGTGTATGAAAAATCTATCAGCAGAGAGTACGGTAGCAGGCGACCATTGGATGAATCAATTCTATAGCGCATTTGCCACAGACAATGAGAAAAATATTCTTTGGGCTACTCGTTTTGCAGCAAGCTACTTGCGGAATGTGGTTGTGTATTGGGAACATATCATGTTTGACAAGGGTACCAATGAGACTTGGCTGCTTACCGACTTGGCACTCCAGCTCAAGAACATCACCTTGGTCGGTCCCATCTTTGGTTTGTACATGTCTCACTACTTTGTGAAGTAGAAGCACGCTGCAACTTGTTACATTCATTTTTCCGCACTCCTCAACACTGGATTATAGAACTTGTTTTCAAATTTTTTGATACAAACCATAAGAATAATAATGTTATTATTTTAACGAGGCATTTATCTTTCAAGGTGTGAATTCTATGTATGCGATGAGCAGCCTTGTCAAGGAATGGGACTTTATCATGCAGTTTCTGACTCTATCTTGACTCATATGCTTTGTGCAGTGGCATTTGTCCCTCAGAACATGGTCATATTTCTCATCTGGCTCCAGCAGCGGTTAGACTTCGCTAACGTCTTCGAGCAGTCATCCGAGAGTGCATGGTTGAAGAAAGCCTTGGCCCTCTGTGAAACAGTTCTAGCCAGCCCCTTGGGAGTTCTACTGCGATCTACCAAAGTACCCTTGTCTTTGAGCAAATTTTTCGAAATGGAATTAAGAATAGGCTGGAAGGAGTGGGTCTTGAGCAAGAGTCGGCTCCTGTTTTTGCGGTACGTTACCTGGAGGTGTACTACCTCTGGAGCTTACGAGTATTTCCGCTGGGGTCTCTTGTGGAAAGACTATGGTGGCGATAGAGCACGTGCTTGCCTCGCGTTAACAGCAGTTTTCCTTACCTCTCAATGCCCAAATAATGTTGAGTCTCGTCTTATTGAAGGGCACCTTTTGCGTGTCGGAAGCTTTCGGAAAAGTGCTGATGACATGCAGAAGAGCTCATGGTCTGGAACAAAGAAGCAGTGTGTTCGTGCAGATACTCCTGATACACAGGACGTGCCCTATTGCATGTGGCTGAAAGAATCTGAGCCAAACCCTGCTGAGGTGCATGTGCTCCAGATTATCCTAGAGCTCGCATCGAAACTGGACCCGCAACATGGACCTTGGCTCTTGGAGGTATTTGCACTCCTCAGCAGGCCCCCACACCTATGCCTTGACGACGAAACGAGTTTGTATTGTTTTGATTTAGAAGTATTGTGCAACTCACGAGCAGTAAAAGGAGTTCGTGAACTATAGTGTTAGTCTCTTATGTTTATCAAATTCCTAGAGTGAAGATTTTTTATCAGTTACTTATTGTTAGATTTTTCTGGCAGGTGGCATTTGATTGTCTCAATAACCAAGCAAGGATGGAGGATGCAATATTGATGCACTGTGATGCTTGTACCTATGCACATAAGTGTAAGAGCAAGCATTATAATCCCGGAGTTTGTAGTGCTTACAGGCTGAAGAGTTGTATAGCTGCTCTTCCGCCCTCGCATTATCTCTCACATGAAAGGTGAGAATCAAGAATCTATCGTGCCTTTAGCCCAGAATAAAGCCTCAGGTTTGGATAACATGTTGCCACACAAGAATTTTCAGGCTTTTTACATGATGCAGTTATGAGCTAAGTGAAGTCTCTAAGTTGATCTCATGAATTTTATATGAAGTTGTGTTATTTAGTAAACGCCCTGGCGTTCTATACCAAGGACCTTAATTCCAAGCTCTTTTTCGGTTTCTGCTGCAGTTTACATAAAATGGAGAAAGTGTTCAAGTTCTGCTGGCTTGGGGATGGACCTTTCTCAAGCGACTTTGCTGGTCAAGTTCTTTCATCTTTCCATAACTCAAGTACAACCACTATGTTTCTGAAGGTACGAAAGTTGCCTTCAAGTTAAATGGTTGCCTTCATGTTACCTGGTTATGCAGTCTTCATCAAGGGGTTGGTGAAATCATCATGAGGACATTGTGTGCAGACACAGGGTGATCGATCTGTATTTTGTTTCAATTTTCTATTTATCTTTCCACATCGACCTTCTAGCTTGAGTTGGTGATTGTTGCCACTAGTGACTCTCATGATGACCTCGGATTGTTTCCCTTGTTCCATTCCAACGTGAATCATTACTTGTGTTCAGGCAGAAAACGAATGGAACACCCTGTTACTGGCTGCATGGGTGCGTTTTTTCGATGTTGTTGGACCGCATATTTTGAATCTACATCATATGATCGGTGACTTTGAGCTTGGATCAATTTTGAAGCATTTGCATGCCACGCAACAGTTCCTTACGTCTAATTCGTGAGCTTTCACTATCATCTACTGAGAATTCTGTTTCTGTTTCGTGTCTGACCTTTCTATGTACTTAGATTCCTTATCAACCATTTGAGATTTTAACTCCTGCATATTCATATACAATTCAAGTTAGTAACTATTCTGCTCAACCGCTGCAACATTCAGTTACAATCCTGTGATCTCATTCGTTATTGCTGTATACTGCAGCAAAAGTGTTAGCGTGGACACAGATGGCTTTAAAGCGGCTGCTATAGCTATGCCGCAACTTGCAGCTGTTACTATGATAGAAGCCTTACTCACTGCGTCTTCCAGCACAAGTTTTATACTAAAAGAAGGCTATTTGGCAAAGCTCGCAACAGTAGCATCTCAACGACAGCATGAAGTATCGGTTAGGACCCTGGATATCTTAAGAAAGGTTACAGGAGGACCTAGGGAGCAGGAAGCATGTAGTCACAAGGACCAAACGACTGTTTCTGATGACTCTACAAGCCTCTTCCTCAAATCCCTCTTGTTTAAACTTGTTGATTTGCTATCAGTGGCGGCAATCCCCAATTCCGACTTGATCATTAAAAAGTGGACAGCTTTGGAGTACAAACGGAAGTGGGTGTCTGATTATACTCCCTTGCAGAAGGAACCGCGAGGTGGCAGAAACTCAACAAATGTATCTTTGGAGTCTTTAGAATTAGAGTTTGAGGAGCGAATCGACAATCCACTGAGAACCATTTGGGACATTCTCCTTGGGTGGGTAGTTACTTTGATTAGACTTTCTCCTGACTCGACAAGTTCTTTGCTTACCAGCGCCAAGGTGTCTAATGTTTCCCCTCTTGGGGAAACTTCTGTCCAGGGTCCAGGAATTCAGGCTACTGGTCTGAAAGCTCTTACATTAAGTATCGTAGTCGCGGGTCTACCTAGAGACACGGTGACGTCTCTTTTGCAGTCCAAATCTACTAAAGCAAGCTGGATCCTCCTCTTGGCACAGATGCGCTTGGGTCTTGACGAGGGCTTTAGTCAATTATTTCTTGGTAATGTAAAACCTTTGAACTGCAACTCTTCTGTCATTAAGGCAGAAATGGACTTTCACTTACTTCGGTTGCAAGGTATCATACAGGAAAGTGTATGATGGACTTCTGCGAACCACCCTTAGTGGTTTACATTTTCATTAAAATTGTTTTCCTTCGAACTTGTACAGTGGACAATTTGCCACCTTCACTGAGCTGTTAAATCTGTTGTAAGATATCTGTATTAGAAGTGCAGGCGCTGGTATTTAAATTGACTGTTGACACATGAGCTCACAAGACCCAGGTGAGCAGAGGCTGTTTTCTGATTACGGGTCGGTGCTAACATGAACAGTTCACAACTTGGAGATGGAATCTATACACAAAAAGGTGTGTGCTAATCTATGCGCCCCGAATGTTGAGGAGTAAAAATTCTATCTACCTGTTATAAATGAGTTCATTCCTTCTCAAGGTAAAGCGCTTCCCATGATTTCCCAGCGTTCAGTAGAAAGAATGGTGTGAAAGAGAGTTAGACGAACATTTCCATGGATTCCATTCGACCAGTTCCTCGAAGTGAGAGATGATCGTGGTAGACGTCGATGTAGCCATACGAATCTGTGCCTGGTGGACATTCCAAGACTGCTTCAAGGACGTGATGGTGAATTCCGTGAGAATCCACAGAATGGCCACCCTCATGGGCATGACCACCCAGACAAGCAACGACGCAATTGAACTTGTGCACAATCGTCATGACAGCATCATAATTCCAGAGAAGACTCGTAGGAAACGATGCACCTGGATCTAATGGCAAGTGACAACATATTACCACCTTTTGTCCAGCATCTTGCGCTTCCTGCAATTTCGTCTCCATCCATTCCAGTTGCTTCTCTCCAACTGCACCGTTGAATTTCACGAATCTTTGGTTTACACCCCTGAGCCCTACTGGACTGTTCTTTTCGTCGTTAGGGTTCCTGCGGTTCAATAGCTCCATCGCAGCTTTAAAGTGCGGGTGATCCGTCGGCCATCCCAGAGTACTTATGTCGTATCCATCTAATGCGACGAAGAGGAACTCTGGCATAGGGCTGAAGGAATAGTATGATCGTTGTTCTGATTTTGAAGTGGGTATATGGAGGATTTGATTGAGCTCCTGTCGGGGGAGGTTGTAGAGGCAGTGATTGCCGATCATGTGATAGACGTGGCCACCCTGAAACTTCGCAAGTTCGGAGAGAACAGTATTGAATGCTGTTCTGGATTTCTCCTTTGGACAAAAACCGTCCACAAGGTCGCCGAAATGAATTGCGAAGGAAAGATCACCCTTCTTATTCCAAGCTTGCACTGCTCTCTGAACCCCAATAAGAGCGTGACGGTAGTAGCGAGGAACGCCCAGAAACGATCTCCCATTGTCAATGTCCGCGTACTGGATGTCTGTGATCACTCCGAATGAGAACAACGGCTTATGAGGGGTGCTGTTGATCTTCGTATCCACCGCACTCTTCATTGTAAGAAGGACCTCGTCATCCTGAACTCCTACTCCCTCAGCCACGTCGTTAATTGCACGTCCATCTCCTCGTCTGTGAGGCATGCTAAAACCAGCACGTGCAAGCCCACAAAGCCTGGAAATCCTACCAAAGAGAGCCAGATGCGCTACTGAAACTCCTCCGGGATTCTGAAATTCTCACACTGCTGCTCTTACAATGCTTGAAGTGCATGAAGCGATGGCGAAGCTCCGATTTGGAACAGAAAACTGCAGCATAAGAACAAACCAGTATGTAAAGTATCTCACCCTAGATGAATCGAAAACAATAGACTGAAATCATCACAAAACAGAGCTCAGCTATGGCAGGTAGACGGGTCAAAATCGAAATTTCTTATGGATAGTCAAGGGACTCGGTTTTTGGTAGCAGGACTATGAGGCAAAACAATCACAGATAAAATTGGCCGCAAGGCAGAGATAAAGGAAGGAATAATCAGAAGCTGACAGATGTTGCAATTGCTTACAACTGCTGGAACAAGCGTCGACGAAACAGGAACGACGGCTCGTGAGGGACGTTTGCATGCTACCTGGCATGCAGTTTCTGTGTCCAGCACTTCAAGACTTGGCAACTCCAAAGGATCTGCGGAATCACTGGCGCGGATTCTTTTCCGAAATTTTACAGAAATTAGTAAAGAGGACATCGTTACCACAACTACCCAGAGTGCTGTCTGGATGTGGACTCAAAATTTCAAATCCTCTGGGCCTACTGCAAAACTTTTTCTGAAATATTCATTCAATTGCGTCTACAAGGAGAGAGAAAAAAAAAAAAAAAAAAAAAAAAAAAACTTGGTTCGACCTAAAGAAATGCAAAGTACAAAAGAGCTTCGGATTTAGCGGCATTCTAATTGGGTCACAATTATGCAAACATTTCATAGTCATTAACATGGACTGTTTCTGATATGTACGACTAATTTTTTCTTCTCCCCTGCTACTGCTGTGGCACTGCTCGCATTCCCGGTGCTACCCCTCTGGATCCTGGAGCAGCTAGCATCTACCACACCGACAATCAGAACACGCACAGTTCTTTCTATGAATATTCCTGTTTCTTAATGCTCTTGTTTTATAATCACCTGGTGTAGTTATGCACTTAGGGGTGAATTTGGAGATCCTTAGCAGCCACGATTCGGCAGGTCTCGTCTCTGGGTGCCGCAATTCTTTTAGTTAATTTAGAGTATTTTTGTGGGCATTCTGCATTGGAGAATCTAAATTGCATGTCGGAGAGTGGTGGTTGGGTTCTTGAATCTGGTAATAGTGTTCAGAACTTTCGTAGTTGGATTTGTGGGTTTCTCGTATCTGGGAGGGCTTGGTTTGTGCGTAGGGTTCGGATTTTCTCTCCTGTGACGGATATGGCTGAATGAAGAGTTCTTCTGATGTTGTAGTGTTAGTCTATTTTCGAGAAAAGAGAGGATCAATTGGATGAGCTCTAGTTTAGCTGCGCTGCAGCGGCTCAAAGCTGGTGTGCAAAGCTTTTGGTGTTGTTTGAAAAGCTAATTAAGGACTCTGTGCTCTTGATCAATCGAGAGTTTTTAAAATGTCGCTCAACATGAAGTCGTTTACCCAAGCCCTCGCGAAGGCCTCTGCCGTTATTGAGAAGACGGTGTCTAGCACCGTGCACGAAGTGACTGGACCCAAGGCGATGCAGGATTACGAGTTGTTGGAGCAGATAGGATCCGGAGGTCCAGATTTAGTTTGGAGGCTGTATGTGGGAAGGCCGCGGAACAAAGTCACTCAGATGCACAATCCTGAAGTATGTGTTTGGGTTCTGGACAAGAAGGCTCTTACAGACCTCAGGCAACGAGTCGGTATATCTAGGTATTGATTAGTCCTTAAACTCTTAACTACCATTCGAGCTTCTAGTTCTTTCTCTCAAGAGTAGGGCTACTATCAATATTAGAGTTTCCATCAGCTGGATGACATAGGCTTTTGCTGATGATTGCAGCACCAGTTGGAACTCCACTTGTATGGTTTAGTGCGCAGCATGTTAATTGAACAATGCCTCATAAATTTGGGCCGCTTATGATTTGCAGAGCAGCGGAGGAGGCATTTTTGGATTTGGTACGGCAAGATGCCGCGCAATTGATGCGCTTGAGGCATCCAGGAGTAATACGTGTAATACAAGCTTTGGATGAAAAGCAAGACAACAATGGCCATGGTTACTGAACCAATCTTCGCTTCTTTAGCCAATATATTGGGGCGATTTGACAACATCACAAAAGCGCCCAATGAATTGAAAGACCTGGTAGATTATTTTTTCACGATTTGTCATGTCTCTGACTGTGCATGCGTGTGTGTTATCCCTCACGAGTACCTGACTTGATGCATTTGTGTTTACAGAGTTTTCTTACAATGAAATACAAGCTTACTGTATGACTGTGTAGTTCTGGATCCTATCTCAACACCTGCATTTGGCTCATGTGATTGTAATCATGAAATCAATGTGGATGTTTTTGTGTACGTACTTGCAGGAGCTAGGTCAGCTCGAGGTTAAACATGGTTTGTTGCAGCTTACTGAGACTTTGGGATTTCTTCACAACAATGCACGTCTTCTTCACCGAGCCATCGGACCAGAGGTGAAGCTCCATTTCTTTAACTCTTCTCCGTCACTCTCCTCTGTTTTTTTTCCTCTATTTCTTGGATCGTCCCTTCATGAAGGATTCGTTGTCTTTTTATTGGATTAATTGCTGTCATCAATTTAGTGCATCCAGTGTCAGTGACTTCTTTGTATGTTCATTATTACTTGAATCAGTCAGACTCTCGTTTCAACGAACACCATTATATCTCTAGTTTCAAGTGTCGCTTTGATGTGTAGATTGGTTTCGATCAGTGGTTTGAAATTATTTAGATGTTTGGTAGTGCTTAAATTATTGGAGAGCCGTAATACGTAGTGATACTGGATGCGATATACCTGATGTTCCTTAGCGATCACTTACATATCAGTAGGAAGTTAATGGGCAATGTATTGTTTTTTTCTGTGTGACAGTCTGTTTACCTTACATCCAGTGGAGCATGGAAGCTAGCTGGGTTTGGGTTTTCCATCAGCCTAGATCAGAGTGGAGTTGATCCAACTGATGGTCCCGCTTTTCATTTCCCGGTAACGCCCTTATTCCGTTTGACCAATCTTTTGTAGTTTCCATCTGTTTACATGGCGAGGCCGTGTCTGAGGAACTCTTTGTCGACTTTTTAAATTTACTCCACCTGTAGCCTATAAGTCAGTAATGTATACTTATTTCATCTACTTTATGTAACTTCCTGGTTGGTTGAAACGAGCATTTGTTATGCAGGATTATGATGTGGATGATGTAGTTTTACCGTTGCAACCACCACTCGATTATACAGCGCCCGAGTTGACACGGAAAGGAGCTGGTGGGCCTGATGCATCGACAGACATCTTTAGCCTTGCTTTGCTTACATATCATCTACTGTCTCATCAGGCACTTCTACAGTGCAGGAATAATCTCCAAACGGTATATTCGTCAACCTGAACTTCCCCATCCGTGGGAGCCTATGTGTATCTTTGAAATCCTTGGCGTGAAGGATATTTATTTGTTTTCTGCAAAATATAGGCTATGTTGTTCTCATGCCAGAGCAGTTGTTTAATTTGCTAATCCTGTTGGCAGCTCCGCGCGTTGTTTCTTGATCGTTCTCTAAATAGCTCGTCTCTACCTGTCTTTGGTACATGTGCTCTATTGTGAGGTTGATTTCATCCTGAGTCTTGTGTCCATTTAGAAAATTAGTATTCATTATCCTCTTTATGATCTGCTTTTTGTCATGAACTTCTAGTATATTGCAACAATTTGACTCGTATCTAATTCGGTACTGCAGTATACAAACAAGGCCTCATACCTTCCAAACGAAAGCTTCACGAATATTCCGTCAGATGTTTCTGAAGATTTGAAACGGATGCTCAGTTCGGATGCGCGTTCCAGGCCTACCGCTCATGACTTTACTAGTAAATCTCTTCGTACTAAATGTTCTCGTAACGTTATTTGTTTCTTTTCATTTTCAAACAGTAGTGTTTGTTCTCTCCCTATGTTTTGAAAAGTACTTAATAAAGTTACGTTTAATAGTCCTTAGGTTATTTGTGCACAGGCTGTGCACGAAAGTTGGTGTGCTGCATCTTTAGGGTATATTGTCCTCCTTGCAAAGTCAGGTTCGTTGCAATAGAACTGAATTGAGGCTTTAATCTCCAACTCATCTGTGAGTTGTATTGCATTACTGTAGTTTGAACGAGGATCAACGAGTCAAGTATTTTGTTTAAGGAATTTTTGCGCCCAAACTCTGTGGTAAATGGTACTTATGGAGGCTGTTGGCATGTTTTTGATAGCTTCTCCTTTCTTCCGGGACGATACACAGCTGCGTGCGTTGCGTTTCTTGGATCACATGCTGGTAATCATGTCTTTTCCGATTGAGTTACGGATGCTATGGTGATAGAAGCCTCTAAGACGAGTAAAACTTTGTCGAATATTCATCATATTTTTCTAGACCATGACGAATAAATGCCGCATGATATGACCTATTCATGGGGTTCTATAGAGTTATGTCAAGTGTTAAGTGTTTAACATACTTGAAGTATAAAGGACACGAAAAAAGCATACACTGAGCATGCTTACCACAGTTTTTGTGCCTAGTATGCTTTTGGATATTTCTCTGTCCATTTCGATACAGTAGAGTTAGGTTAATTGCTGGTAGGGCATCTAGAAGGGTGGTTTATTACTGTTGACCTCGATTGGATGTTGTCTATTCTTAAATTGCATAGCTACTTGCTAGATTCTGTTCTAATATCAGGCCTATTTCGTATGCACAGGAAAGAGACAATATGCAAAAAACTCAGTTCTTGAAAGCTATGGCAGATATGTGGACCAGTTTTGATGCCCGTGTGCTGCGTTACAAGGTTCGACTGTGTGGATGTCTGCAACTTTTCATACCTTCCTCTTTGCTACAGTAGTATGATTGAGTACGGGCAATCACTTCTTTGAGCTAGATGTTATAGCTAATTTTTGTTTCATGAGCTGTTATGCTGGAGGATTTGTCTCCAGAGTGGTGTGTGTCTGTGCACGTCTTGCAAATTGACTAATCTAGACGCAACTCAATTTCTGGAATGAAGGTGCTACCACCATTATGTGCGGAGCTTCGCAATGAAGTGATGCTGCCCATGGTGCTTCCCATGGTGCTCACTTTAGCGGACTCGCAGGTTGGTGCTAATATATGACCTCCTCGTACAGAGCATTTGTTTTGTTACTTGATCAATGAATCTGTTCTCCTTGTTCTATACGGAATCTAGCGTTAAGTCAAAGCTTTGTCATTATTTGCTGATTAATCCCACTAAATTGGTTTTTTCTTGATGATGTGTTGCAGGAGATGGTGGATTTCCAATCTGCCACACTTCCAGCATTGTTGCCTGTTCTTGGAACTGCCACTGGAGATGCTTTACTTTTGCTGATTAAGCATGCTAGCCTCCTCATTAATAAGGTGCTCCACCTGTTTTAGGACAGCTTGCTAAATGTATTGTTTGCATTCGGATCCTGCTTCTGTGTGCAGTTAGTTTTCCATGTATTCTAGAATGACATGGAAAAGTGTTGTTCCTTATTTATGACGTTTAGCTGTTTAGGACGTTGCCCCGATCTTTGCACTTGCCTATTATTGTGTTTGGTGTGGCCCTAGCTTACTCGACAAATATCCAATCCTGAATTACATGTCGCTGCCATTCGGTTTGCAGGCAGGACCAGATGCCTTGACAGCCAATGTGGTACCCATGATTGTCCGTGCTTTTGAAGATCCTGATGCTCGAATGCAAGAGGAAGTCCTTAAGCGCACCTTGTCGCTTACAAAGCAGCTTGATTTCACAGTAAGCACCTTCTCCTTGCCTTCTGCATTTGGATCAGTCTCATTTCTAATACAATTGCCTCAACAACTGTGTGTACTCTTGCGTATTGCTTGTATTTCATGCATTACTTTAATACAAAGAACTATGTTGATTGTCAATATCTTGCTTTTACATGATACACAGTTATCTTCATAGTTTGAAAGCGTTGCGGTAGGTTTTGTTAGTACTTTTGTGATGTGATTTCCCTGCCTGAGTGTTTTAATGTTCTGATACTTGTTTACTTTTGCAGGTTCTGAGACAATCAATTTTACCTCGCGTTCATGGTCTGGCTCTCAAGACTACAATGGCAGCTGTATACACCTTCCTTGATTCTTCAGATTTTATTTGGTGTGATTGGGTTGTAATTTACTTGCAAATAGGCGATTAGATTTTTTTCTTTGCAATGTTATTTTCCTATTTGCTATCCTTGGTGCTAGTGTTCATTTCTCCGTCTCTTATTCGTGATGAAACTCGGAGTGGTCATTGAAAGTGAGCATACCGTTCATGTGTTGTAATCAACTTTGAATTTGGCTGATGCAGGTGCGAGTGAATGCGTTGTTGTGCTTAGGCGAGGTTGTTCCACGTCTCGACAAAGTGGCCATACATGAAATTCTGCAGACTCTGCAGCGTTGCACTGCTGTCGACCATTCTGCTCCCACTCTAATGTGTTCACTGGGAGTTGCATCTGCCATTCATAAACAGGTTAGTTCTGTTATATATAGATGAACCGTGTTTTCGTCATGATTAATTTTTACATCTTGAGTTACATGGTAGAACTCACTGTTGTGCTGTGACTCCAGATGGGTGTGGAGTATGCTGCAGAACATCTACTTCCACTTCTTTGCCCTCTGCTCACTGCACAGCAGCTAAACCTTCAGCAATTTGCAAAATACATGCATTTTGTGAAAGAGGTTCTCAGGTAAAGTTTGCAATCGTGTCGTTTTCTGGTTCTGCTTTCAGATGTGTGGGCAGTAATAGTTGCTTCAAGGCACAGTTGTTCTAGCGAACGACAGAATAACCATGGTGATCTTACAGGAAAATAGAGGAGAAACGAGGTGTTGTGGTCAACGAGGTGGAGCCAGTTTCCCTTGACATGAAGACGATGGCCCTTGGCGGTCCTGCGAAACCCAACGTGAAGGCAACAGGAAACGGGACAGACAACAGTTCATGGGACGCTGACTGGGCTGCACCTAAGAAGACATCCACCAGAACGGCACTCGACACTAACGATTTATTCCCTGAAAATGCTTCCCCTGCAGCTCCAAGTGTGGCGTCAGCTCCACAAACTCAGCCTTCCATGCAACAGCCTTTTCTGTCATTTGAATGGCCTCCGCCAGCATCTACTCCTAATATTTCAACCACGACTTCGAGCGTTTCCAATGCTGGTGCAATGAGTACAGTCTTCGGCAACACAAATCCTAATTCTTCAAAGAAACTTCCATTCGTCAGCAAACACTCAAACCAGTGAGGAGAATGATCCATTTTCTAATTGGCCACCACGAGCATCTTCAAATCCGAGCAATATATCTAACCAGTCCAGTTGGAATAGTGGATCTATTTCCTCAAAAAATCAAAGTCTCAGCAACCTTAAGATAGCAACGGGGAGTTCAAACTCTATCTTGAATGCGAATGATTGGACTATGCGAATGATTGGACTATTGGATAGGTATTGATTAGTTTGCTTATTTACGACTGCGCTAGTTGCCATCACTGTAGTCACGGGTGTGTGACTATCTATTGCGTTAGACCATTCTTTGTTTGTAGTAATCATTCTTTCACAGGTCTAACCATTAGCAGAGTTTTTTTTATTTTTTATAACTTGGAATGTCTTCTAGGTGGTGACTAAAATCACAGAGTACGGTGATTTACATTGTGACTCTCAAGTATGCTTCACTACCTGCGCAGGTTCAAACGCTCGAAACCAAAGTTAACGAAAGCAAAGAATCTTAGTTCATTGTTTTAACTCCGCACCATTTACATATCAAGTCACAGCGGGCTTTCAAAGAGTTGGTGGTCAACAAATTGTAGTGACTGTGGATTTGTTCCCATGCTACGAACATCCAGTGGTCTATGCAAGGTGACAGAATTCGAACATGTGCTCTTACAAATGAGGAAAATATAATCTCACGCGGATCGACTGGATGAAGTGTTGTGGTTACTTTCTGTGGCATGTTCAGCATGGAAATGGGCGCACCTTGTCGTGTGAACCTCTCTGCTGCACAACACAATCTGATAATGGAGCAAAGTACAGCAATGTTTTCAGCACTGGCAACACATCAACATTACGCATCATTGGAGCAGTTTCATAAACAACCCAGCCAGTAAATCACTCTTTAGAATTACTCTAGAGAAACTACACTGGGTACTCATGACATCCAACTTGGAGACAAAGGCTCTAGTAATTCATGCAGAAGTGATGAAACTACACGAGAGGTCTGTAACCAAGACTCTCTGCGCATGCGATGGGATGTAACAGCGTTATCAATATTTACATGGAGACAAGTCAAAAGCTTCAACCGTTTCTGAGATGTCTAAAAATCACATCTTTTTTCACCAGCTGAGGATGGCCAAAGTGATAAACAATTGTGCACGTGGACAAAATCGCATCCATCATGACCACTATCGGACCTCAGTGGAGAACCTCCCATGGACACTCATGATCAAAAAGTTTACGATACACGACATTCCAGGTGGAAACTGCCGCTGAAACCGCAGTTGAAGGTCAAACGGCATCCGGCTGAAATACAGGATTATTATCCCGGGGCCATGGATCAACAGACAGGCCACTACATGGAATTGACAAAGCCAGAGGGGGTTGAAATGCGGCGCTGAAGACATCGCTCAAAATTGCCCACAACCTTGATATAGAGTTTAAGCACAGTGGTGAATCGATGCAAGCTTCGACGTGTCATGCATGTCGGTAACGATTAGATTCCGTTTCTTTATAACTTGAAGGTGCCGCACATAACAACAGTTCAAGCTTCTGCACACACGGATCTCTGAAACTTGACGACAAAATTGGTGGATCTTCCACAGATTGTTGCAGAGATTGCATGGGAATCAAAGCTTCTTCGATTCAATGCGACGATCAGGTTCATGCCATATGCGCGGAATCAAAGCTTCTTCGATTCAATGGCTGAACTGATTGACGCCTCTGTGCTCTGCATCAGACATGGTTGTGGGAATCCGCGCAGACATTCATTTCAAAACGACACATTGCTGCAAAACAGGAATCATTTCACTTGTGGGGTGCTTCATTTAATGCAGACGACCCACTTAAACATATCTGCAGTATGGGTATGATAAAATAAAAAAATTCCCCATGTAGGGAAATAGAATTCCGGAGGATTCTAGGTTTTTTCATATCTTTTTGCGAAAAAATAAAATTACTATGAGTTTTCTAGCTGAAGATTCTGTTTAATATAAACTTGTAATATATAGGTTAATCTAATTCCGACCAATGGTTGGTTACAAAATTGAGAATGCTTGATTTGTGTAATTGAGAATTGTGGCACTTAAATATGCTTTCAATCTATACTTCATATTGTGCTATCTAAGGATGATAATATGTAGATGATGCAACCAAAATTCCAACATTTGGTTGTAAATAATTAATTATTTCAAGTGAGATTTTTGTAGCAAGATTTCCTTATTTTCGGTTGTCTCCAAATCCTAATTCACTCATCTTATAATTTTGTTCCAATGGCTCTCTTAAGCTCTCTCTTTAACATTTAATTGCATTGGCCATGCACTTTGTACATGGTATGGTATTGGAATATGTTGCAATTGTATAAGAGTTGGAATCATAAGAGAGCCATCGGAACAAAATTGTTGCGATTGTAGCATGGAGTATATACAAATGGAATAATTTTGAAATAGACTTACAAATATAAAATGCATGTTGCTCATGAGCTGCAAATTGTATGTTAGAGATTGTAGATTAGCACATGGCAAAGACGCATGTTGAAATGAACGTGTGAGCATAATTAAAAGCTCCAATGGTTAATTACAATTCTTTTTTTAATTTTTAATATATTTTTACTAATTTTAATTCTAATATAACTAATTAATAGATCCAAATTAGTTTTTTTAGTTAATTATGACTTTGATCATATCTTTAGGTTGTTAATTAGATGGATACTTCTAATTAGTAGATTGATTGACTATTTTAAAACTCAAAAGAAAAAATAGTAAATTTAGAAGGTCTATGATTTTCTTTTCTTGAATTACTTTAAATCTTTTTCTTAGTAATAACACTACAATTTTAGTAGAATTTCTCTTCTAATTCTTAGGAATTATATCTTAAATTAATTCACGATCTTAATTTTCAATCCAAAAGCTAATTTCTAATTTGACTATGGTTAGAAAGACCCTTAAATCTAATTGCTCTATCTTCTTAATTAATTTAAAAGATTTTAAAGCTTAAATTCATTTCGTAATTTAATTGGATTAAAAATATAAAGTCTAATTGTTAAATTAATGATGATCTTAAAAAGATGGAGACAAGCTAAATTTTTGGTGGAGTTTCCTCTCGTAGTGATTTTAATCACTACTTGAAGTTAAAAAAAAAAGGAAAAATTGGAAAAAATCACAAATTCAAGGCCAATTTACAATTAGGTTTTAGATTTGCCAAGAGTTCATGCTGAAGGGAGTTTAAATTGAAGAATGGTGATTATGAAGGCTTTGATGGCAAGAACCCTTGCTGATTTCCAAGTAAACTAATTAGAATTAGAATTGTAGTTGAAATGTGTAACTAAATTAGCAAATTAATTGATTCTTATGATTTAGAACTCAAATTTGGGCTTGTGAATAGTATTTCTTAGGATAAAAATATGTTTTAAAGACATTGGTGGTGTTGGTTTCACCAAAAATGTGTTAGTTTTGAATTCTAGGCATTTTTAGTCTTGAAATCGGATTTGTGCTGAGAGTTATTGAGGACCCTTGATCTTCATTAGGGATTTTCCAATTTTGATGGTGGAGATGTGTCCGCCACTTTTGGGCCTCCTCCCACCTAGTTAAGAAGGCTTAGGTAATTGAGCTCCCTTTCTCTCTCTCCATCTTCTTGTGGCGAAGCCATGGCAAAATGTTCCCCCATCTTATGAATGCAAATTTTCTTCTTTAAACTTATATGGTTTCAGTTTTAACTCGCTCAGTCTATCTCTTTTTATTTTCTTTCTGTGAAACTTTGTAAGCAGATTCTACTCATCTTTAGCTTAGTAACGGCATAAGGCACGCTTGATTTAAAGTTAAGACGAATTTTTGGCGAGTTTTCAAGGTGGTAGGGGTCTATTGCCTTGGCAATGTAAGAGCATCGGCTTAAAAAATCTATAACTTAGTGACCTTTGACTCAACTTTGATGTGGATTTTTGAAATGAATGCAATCTAAAGTTTATTTTACTAAAAAATTTAAATCTTTAATCCCCGATCTATATCAAGTTTTTAATGATTTTTTAAATGCAAAGGGATCTATTGCCTTGACAGTGTTGAACAATCAGCTTTGAAATTTTTTATCTTAATACTTACTTACATTTTTTTGCTGAAATTTGTTGGAAAAAAAACTCTATTAAGTGTGTTTTTAGGAAAAATTATACTTGTCAATTTTAAACTATTAATTGATTTTTAGTAAATTTTTAAGTAGAAGGGGGTCTGCTGCCTAGGCAGCTCAAGTCGCCTTGCTTTGAAAACACACATCTCGAATGTCAAACCTTGGATCACCATGAAATTTGGTAGATAGGAGCAATTCTACGTCAACCTCAACTAAAAAAATTTTCAAGTGCATAAGAGCTGTGTGGAATTGTTAGCAAAGTTTTGAATAACAAGGGATCTACTGCCTTCAACTTGACATACTCTAAGTAAGTTTTTCTTCCCTAATCACCCTCTAATCACATCCCTTAGCATCTAAATTGCTATATTATTACTCATTCGTCTTATTACCATCAATTAATGTTATTTAATAATTTCAAAGAACTTTTACCTCACTTGGAAATTAATCTTAAATTCTTATCTTTCCATTCATTCTTATCCTTAAGGATAAAATAAAATAAAAAATAAAAATAAAGATTAATCTGATCTTTTAATTTTTTCCTATTTCTTTTAACCTTAATCTTTTAATTTTTTCTTTTAACCTTAACCTTTTAGCTTTTACTTTTAACCTTCAACTTTAAACTTTTACTTTTAATCTTCAACTTTAAACTTTTACTTTTAATCTTAATATTTTACTTTTATTACTTTTAAACTTTCACTTAACTTTTAATAATTAATTCTAACTTAAATTTTAATTAATTTAATTTAATTTATTTAATTTATTTTAATTTTTTAATCTTCCAAATTTCATCTTTTAGCTTAAAAAAAATCTTAACATCATGTTGGTACTGAACTTAAATATTTAAGGCTGTTTATTACTGAATTTCCAATTCTAGATGAAGTTTTGTCATAAAAACTTCATCTATAGCTAACTTCTTATATAGAACTCCAATTTACATGATTAATACTACCTTAGAAAGCCTTAGACTAGCACTCTAGCATGGTATTCATTATTTTTATTTTATTTTATTCTAATTCATAATTTTCAGAATAAGTCTTGAAAGGCACTTAACTAAATGAACTACAAATGCTAAAAATTAAATCATAAAAAAGTGTAATTAACTTGTTGTGTTGTTGGATTAATCTTAATTATTACCTCATTTTGGTTTTCCTATCTTATAGATGATTTGCATCTCTACATTAATTAGTATTGGGCTCTAATGTAAGTTATGATCTAATTAAATCAAATTTAAGTGGGGAAAAAAATCCACTTACAGAAGGCTTAAAATTTTGTCCTCTCTTTACACCCTATGCTAGAGTTGTAACATCTTGTTGCTATGCCTTTGTTTGCAACCTCTTTACAACCTGCAATGTCCAAGCCTTTATTTGTAAAGCTTATTGGTGCACCTTCAAGCATATTGTCTTTCACTCTTCTGTCTTGTGTATATGCTCTTCTCCCACATTATGCTAGTAAGCTTCTTTCAAAATTGTCCTTTCCTCCTATTCTTATAATTTTTTTTCTTTCAATTCTTCTCGTCAAATTTGTGGATTTTTTTTTCTTCCTTGCTTGTTGAAGATTTTATTCTTGGATTTGCTACACAATACTCATATATATATATTTATATTTATATATATATATATATATATATATATATACATATCCAAATTTATTATTAATAATTTAGAAAAATTTATAAATAAATCTATATTGTATCTTTTTGAATTAGACCTTTTTATGACGATCGACAAAGTTAAGAAGCAAATTATGGATTTTTGGATTAATGCAAGGAAGATCTATTCCACGAACATCTTTTGTAAATTAAAAATTGAATATATTTACAACGACAAAAAGAAAATTGGTAGCAGAATTTGGAGCGAGCTTCAATTCAATTATAATATTATTAAGCAAAAAGAAGGTTTGATATCACCATTTGATCTTATATCCAACTTGCTTTCATCTTTATGTAATGCAAAATATCTAATTCTATTGTTTTTACC